TTTAAATTTTTGGGTAGACTAGAAGAAGTTCATAGCACCTGATTAAACTTTTATAGTATCACCTGCAAAAGTTTTTCCTCTCTCTGAAAAAGTTAGTCCCTAAGGGTATTTATACACTTACCTTTGTCTGCTCTGATGCACCGGAAATCCAGTGCGTTGGAGCAGACTTGATTAATTGAGTCTGTGGAGCATACAAGCTGACCCACCCAGCGCTGTGTTGCATGCATTTATATAAATGGCGAAATGCACGCACAGAAAATGTGTTTTAGTTCAAAAGCACTCTGCTGCCATTTTCTCAGCGCTGATGTTCATTTAACAATTTATATAACATGCGATGCAGCACCCGGCGCTGTGGTGCATGTATGTGTACAAATGCTCTAAGCTGCCACCCTCCCCTGTCTTCTGCCTCCTGATTCTTTGTGTAGTATTCTTATTGTATTGTGTAAGATTTTGAGCATACACAACATAAACTGTTGTTCCCTCTGTAGTCTCCGGTTTCTAGAGAAGAAATACGAGATGACAAGACCACGATAAAGTGCGAGACATCACCACCATCTTCACCTCGATCTCTGCATTTGGACCGAGTCCATAAAGGAGCTTTGCATACAGTGAGCCATGAAGACATCAGGGACATAAGAAAGTAAGCAAAATAAGGTTACAGTAAATAAGACATTGACATTCTTATAATTCAGGTTAAGATTCTTTCATTCCAGTTTCCTATAAAGTTTTTCAGCCTGTATTTTTTTAAGATTAAACTTGTGAAAAGTAAATCAGAAAGAATAATACACTGACTTGCTAGAATGGATTAATAGTCTCTAGCAAAACCCATAGTTTGTCAGTGGTTTTGTGGGGGAAAGCTTTCTGGTACCAGAGTACTGTCCTGCGTTTTAACATTATGTAAACATTTTATAGAAAAAGGTAGATAAGAAGTGGCATTTTAATTGAGTATGCAAATTCTTTCTACTTGTTTGTTATAAATTCAACTTACAATCAGTTGGGTTTGATAAAGAATTTTGATATTTGGAAAGTTACATTACAGATTAATTTTAAAGGATATACGAATAACCTACAATTTCTTTCCATACCTTACAAGAATGGATAATATGCTTATGTGCTGTTAAGTGTGTGTGTGGTCATGCTCCTTTTTAATTTAGTAACTTCCCTGTGGTGATGCTGTAACAGGTTTTTTGAAGGGAAATGCATTGAAACTGGTAATTTATAAGGTTGCTTGACAGTGTTTAGCATGCACAAATACCTCAAATTGTCATCACAAATGTTGAGTAGTGAAAGGTGGGCTGATTTGCTTTTCATTTATTCTCTAAGAACTGAAAGTTTTTTCTTTAAAGTTCAACAGGCTCTCAAGATGGGCAAGTAAGCAACCCCAGCAGCAGTAATAGTAGCCAGGATTCTCTTCACAAAGCTCCTAAAAAGAAGGGGATCAAATCCTCTATTGGTCGCTTGTTCGGTAAGAAAGAAAAGGGTCGGCCCGGACAAACCAGCAAAGAATCATTGGGACAAGGTTGGTTTATGTTCTAACTTGCATTTCTCAATAATGTAAGGGGAAGAACAAGATGAAATTTTGCAGTGTACATTTGAATGTGTTCCTTTAAGTAACGTTTGTGTGGTTTTTATGCATTTATTTTCTTCAAAGAGAGATCAGCATGGATCCAATTTTCCTCGTGCAAAAACTCGAACACAATCTCTTTTTTTGAGAATAGCAGTGTCTCAGGACCAGTTGTGTATACATGTGAGGACATCAATAATAGAGTAGTTACTACCCTCCCTCTTCTTTCCAACAGCAGATAAAGAGAACCTGAATCATCTCACACTTATTGCTGGTTTTTGAGTTTCAAAATGAATGTTTTTGTGAAGAACAAGTGGAAAAGAATTTGTTTGTTTCTTTTTCTTGGATGTTCCAAGAACAGAAAAAGAGGATGGGGAGACCCTCCTATAACCCTTCTGTATTAGTCTGAAATGCTTTATGCACCAGTCATCTGCGTGGCATACGTGAAGACCATAGGGGTTGATCTGTGTCTTAAACTGAACATAGCTCTGGTTTCATCAGGGAAGGGTATTAAGGGATGCCAGTTCTACTCATGCTGACAAAGATCCAACCAGTATCTGTGCTTGCTGTTTTGCTGAGTGCATCAGCACCAGCTCAGGATGTCGAAGTTCAAAATTAATCTGTCCCCTTCAGATGCTGAGTGGCGCACATATGCATACCCCAACTATAAATGTCTCATGAGTTGACTCAAGTATTTCTCCAAAGGCTATCCATGGAAACCCACCTTAATACTGAAGCAAGGGTATAGCCACATAGAGGGTGAAGAGAATGCACGTATTGGCACTAATGTTGATGCAAGGATCGGCCAGCCAACAGTGTACTTTTAGGTACTACGTTTGGCTTCTCATCATTGAACTGGCAGTCAATCTACATCCAGTGACATCAGTACAGTCAGATTCTGTTCCACTATTCCTCAATTTCAAGCACGCACGTAAATGCCCCATGACACTGACAGTACTTGAGCCAACCACAGTGTGGCCTGTATTAGTTCAGTCTAACCATAGTGGACATACTGGCCCTATTGGGGTTGTCTTTTCAACAGGTGCTGAAGTGTAGACCCACCACATGTTGAGAGAGAGGTTTAATATTAATAGCCCAGTCCTTGCACTAGGACTTGTCAGTGTTGAAACAGGAGTGGCTTTAGAACACATCTCAGTTGCCCTCCTTTATAGAAGAAATCTGGATTTTTTTTTTTTTTTTTTTTT